TAAAATATTTTTGGATTCTTAAGTTGCTTGTCTTTGGCTCATAACACAGCTTTTAAACTATCTGCATGTTAGCCATTTATTATAAATTACATATAATGTATTGTTTATGACTTAATGGTTTTAGTTTTGAAAGTGCCAAAACTTTGATCAACTCAGCTAAAATAAGGTTCCGTTTAATGCGTTAGAGATTGGCATGCCTTATTTACATTATGATAGGAAGCACAATCACTAATTAAATATTTTACTATCTACAAATAGAACAATGGCTCTTAAGAATAAAATAAAAGACCAGATAGACAGGAAACATTTGTGGCAATAGATTTTGAGAATACTTTATAAACCCTTTAACTGAGTTATGTATTCTGTAATATATTCTACTATAACTTCTTAGCTTGGTATTTTGAAAATTAACTGCTGGATTTGAATAAAATGTAACTTTATTATATTTTTATCGATGTACAGTTTATATTTGTCATATACTGGTTTTTTAAATTTAAAAGATGAACATCATGAAAATGAATTTAAAACTGTTGTATACAGATCTAAACTTTTTCTTGAGTTTTTTTAGATTTGAAGGCAAACAATTTAAAATCTATAAATACTTCATGTCATGTATAAGGAATTCTGAACTAAGATCCTAATTCAGATAATATTAGCTAATTTAGGAGAGTGATCAAATTTGAATATAGTGGGGCTTTTGCGTAAAAGTTCTTTAAAACAGGAACCAGTTTGATATAGTGGCAAGGCATCAGGCTGAAAACTGGAAGACTGTTCTGGTCCTGTCTTGGGCAAAAGTACAGCTGAGTAACCTTGAGCCAGTCACACACTATCAGCTCTAAGAAGCAGGCAATGGAAAACCACTTCAGAAATCTTGCTGAGACAATTGCAGGTTAGTTGTTTACCCAGGTCCTTCTCTAGTTCAGAGGGAGAGTGCTCTTGCAATTAAACTAAGAAATAGTGCTTGAAATATATGGGTTTCTATGTGATATATTCTCTGTCATTCTACTTGTAGCAGAAAGCTACCTGTTTGAAGGGCTATTTAGTCCAAGTCCAGTTTTAAGTAACAGCTGTAAGAAGGGAGCATTTTTAGCAACTGTTTGGTAACTAAGGCATACTGTTTTCCAATACAACTGGATGCCCATTATATATCTTTCTGAGGAAGCACACTCAGTTGTTAATCAATGAAACTCTGAAGAGCAACTCGGAGCAATGTTTATGTGTTAGTTAAATGGATGACCAGTAGGAAAGTGTAGAAAATAGGGCAGATGATAGAAATATCTAAGAACTATTAACTAGATAAAAGGTACTGAAAAACTTTTTAAGTGAACCGGTAGCAAAGGTAAGTGAAACCTACCCCTGGAAGGTCGGGTCTGATTTTCTTTTGACCCCTGAAAAAACGGCTAGGCCTTCTTTTTGGAGGGTTCTAATTATTGACTCACCTCATGGTGGTAACACCAACAGCCCCGCCCAGCAGGAGCCCGCTACTGGCCCACTTCTGCGGCCACTTGCCACCACTCTCACACATCGCCCTGGCCTCTGTTTTGCCTTCAGATGTCTACCAGAAGGCATCTGCAGCTGATAACAGAGCTCCGGATTGATCCGGAGCTCTGTTATTGGCTGCAGATGCTTTCCGGAAAGCCTTCGGCAGCCGATAATAGAATTCTGGACCGATCCGGAGCTCTGTTATCAACTGCAGATAACAGACACCGGCAGGCATCTGAAGGCAAAACGGAGGCCACAGCGATGCTTGTGAGTGGCGGCAAGCGGCCGCAGAAGAAGGCGAGGCAGGTGTCAGGGTGGGTGAGGCCTGGTAAGTAGGGCAGCTCCACCGACCCATCCCCACCTTAGCTTATTTTTTACCTGTGTGCCTCGTCCCACTCCTTGCATCCTGGGGTGAGCGGGATCTTAATTAGGGCTAATTTTGTGGGTAGGGCTTAATTTGATCGCATGAGCTCAAAAACGTGATAGGGCTTCTTTTCAAGATGGGTTGTCTTTTTGGAGAAACACAGTATACTTCCAAGCTGAATATTTTATTGTTTCACAGATCTTGCCAAACTGAGGATTCTACTATCTACATCTATAATATACCCAGTAAACTATTAGAGAAGGGCTGTCTTCATCCTCGTTGTCTCATACATAATATTTGGACTAAGTTGCTTCTTACCTTCCCACCCCCTCTCACCTGGGAATTCACCTCCTCACTACATTCCATCACATCATGATCTTCCTGCAGATCTTCCTGTTGGAGTCTACCTGCTGGAATGTGTGACAGTATTACAACCACAAAAGAAAAAATATCAGTGAAAAGGACAGTTGCAAAGGAAGCAGCAGCAGCTCCTCTTCCCACTTCAAGTAGCCATAGCTTTAGTCAACTTGGGCTGATTTTGGAGTCAGAATATCATGGCCATCATTTAAAAACAAATAATTACATGGTAGAAATTATAATATACCTTGAAGATGCTAACCATAAATTTCTGCTTATAATCACTGTTCCCCAGAGGAACTTATCAGAGGCATCATGTCTGAAAAAGCCAGTAATCTAGGGATACACTGGAACAAGTTCATGCAAGATGCAGGCATTCCTTAATTTATTATCTAATTTTATATTATAAAATTGATTTTTTAAAATAATTCAATAGATGCTATAGATTATGCCATTATTATTTTCCCCAAATATATTGTGTGGACTATATCTATGATCATTGTAAATTGTATGAAGATATGGTAAAAGAAAGAGTGGCAAGATCTAGGTCATATACAAGGCAGTTGTTAATCTTGCTGGAGGAAGAAAAACATGTGAACTGATTAAAGAAGAAAACAAAACAAAACCAATAAAAGCTTTAATCAGTGTAACTGTCAAGCTAGTGCAACTCTAAAGTCCTTGGTTTAGACAGAAACATCACACAGAAAAGAAATTTATTTCTGACTAAACATAAAGAACCCCACATTTTCTTTTTAAGTATATTTTATTTGAAAGCGCAGCACAAAATATGTTCCTTTATTTGAAAGGAAAGATTCAGGCTGGGTATTTCTAAACATTTCCAGCTTTTCCAATTTGTTGACAAAATGTGAATTATTTTGGAGCTATGTCCCTGTGGTTTGTCATGTCAGTTATTATATTGAAAAATTACTTATAAAAAGGCTTTGACACTGAACTTTACAAATTTGTTCCAACTGACCTTATCTTAGTTATTTGCCATTCTAGCACATTGTTATTTGCCTTGTGCAATACTAGAAAAACTGTAGCAAAAGACCTAGCATTTTATGTGCTTACAAATAAAGAATCTGCTTTAAATAAAGAAATCAACATTCTTATCTCAAAGTCCATTTTCTCTCAGATATATAAGGTTTGCTTTCTGCAGAATTCCTCATGCGTCATGTATTTTTCTTTTTAATTCAGTGAAAATGAACATTTAAACATATTTGTAAATTATCCTTTTCTCTGCAAAGTTTAAGCTAACAAAATTAATCTATAATTTCTAAATCTTCAGAATTTTATCTAAACTAATATTGTGGTTATATTGTCAATCAATCACTGTCCCCCAGACATCTTCACTCTCTTTCTATTGTTACTTTTCTTTGCTTTTCTTCCTTTAATTTTTTACTTTGAAGGAAAGAAATGTGAACTTTAGTTTCTCAATTTTTAATTGATCCAATTTCAACTTTGTTTACCCTTTAATTCAAAACTACAATAATTATTGCTAACAATAATAGCATAATAAATATTGTTCATAAATGTATTTATACATAAAATGGGCTTTTGGTGGAACATCACCTTTACTTTTCATGAAATAGTCTAACCAATATATTCACCTGATCTGGTTAAATGGACTATAATGCCAATGGATAAAGGTAAAAATTCCCCTCGCACATATGTGCTAGTTGTTCCCAACTCTAGAGGATGGTACTCATCTCCATTTCAAAGCCAAAGAGCCAGTGCTGTCTGAAGACGTCTCCGTGGTCATGTGGCCGGCATGACTAAAAGCCAAAGGCTCATGGAACACTGTTACCTTCCCACCAAAGGTGGTTCCTATTTTTCTACTTATATTTTTTATGTGCTTTCGAACTGCTAGAAGCTGGGACAAGTAACAGGAGCTCACCCCGTTACACGGCACTAGGGATTTGAACAGCTGAACTGCCGACCTTTTGATCAACAATCTCAGTGTCTTAGATAATGCCAATACAGGATTGGAATTCCTGAGCTTGTCTTTATCCTGTACAATAGTGCAGGAAGTTTTTTTGTAAATAATGCAAAATAGCAAAAGACACTAAATTTTGAATGACAAAGCAATGGGACCTGAACATATCATGCCAAATTCTATGTTTCTGTTCTGCTAAAGTGTTTGTGTCATCTGCTTCCTATATTACAGTACTGAGAAGTTACAGCTCCCTTAATGACTGAATTGTGCAAAAGAATATATACACTCAACCTTTGTGGTTTGTGCTATATGTTTATTTTAAATTTTGTAGACTTCTGAAGCAACATATTAACTTCGTCTTACAGCATAATCCATATCCATAGATGGTTTCATGTTGGATGATGCATTAGGATGCAAACATCAATTACTGATACATATAATATAAAAAAGCCATTATATCCACAGTTGGCTAGGTTCATTCACCATATTAAACCAATATATATTTGTGGTTTATCATGTCATATGAAGCCAGCCTTTTTGGTTTGATTCATGGAGCAGAATATTATATGAACTCAATAAGTTATAGTTTATGAGTGAATCATGGTTAAACAAACCATGTCCTAATACTATGAATATACCAAATCTATAAAATACAGTGAGAATGACTACAGAATTAAAAAGAAGTTACAGAAATAGAAATGTATATTAGACTATGTAACTAAAAATTATACAGATTCAGCAGTAGAACTGATTATAATTAAGGTATTTTTTTAAAAAAATGCAGAAAATACTACTTTTGTCTAAGTCCATATTTTTATGAAACACTTTTTAATGACATTTTATATTATGTTTTTTTCTTAGACGGCTTGATGCTAACCATATCAGCTTCATACCTTCCAACTGTTTCATCGGCTTGATGTCACTTAGATATCTGTGGCTAGATGATAACTCTTTGACTGAAATTCCAGTGCAAGCTTTCAGAAGTTTGCCAGCACTGCAGGCAATGACACTTGCACTCAACAAAATCTACTATATTCCAGATTATGCTTTTGGAAATCTCTCCAATTTAGTAGTGCTGTAAGTTTGTATTTGATTTTAGACATAAAATTTAATTAATTTTCAAGAGTTTCAGCTGCTGACTTCATGAAATTATGTGTTTAATATACACCTAGTTCTTTTAGTAGAACAGCAAATATATAAGTCCAAAACCTGGTTAGTGAAGCCAATTGAATGCAAAAGAACCCGAAGCTGAAAATACTGTTTATTTTTTGTATATTTTATTTTGGCTACAGTATATGTAGAGTATTAATATTTTTTTTAATAAATAAGCTTTATTGCCAGTTTAATCCTGAGATTAGTTGCATTTGAAAGTAAATATTTTGGGGTACAGTAATTTTGACATTTTTCTACCTGATTTCAAAAACGATTGTAACCTACCAAAAAGCTCTGTAAATGTGCAGAATGGAAGAATTCAAACTGTTAAATGGAACTGATGTGATCAGGATCAATTTAGGTTGGGTTGCTGCATTGGCTTGGAGAAGGGATATTAACCTTTTTTTTAGTAGAATGTCCTGTCTGCATGTTAAAAAAAAAAAGTAAGAATGGGAGAAAAGTTAAAATGAATAGTTAGAGATGAAACATGAGGAGTGTTTTAAGAATCATGTCTTGACTTGAAGACTTTTATGTTTAAGTTACTTGTGGAATCTGCAGTGTTATGTAGTATTTCATCATGCTTCCTGAGTCTACATGCATTGGATCTGAGGTACACAGACTTGTACAAAAATCAAAATTAATTAATTAACTCACTCACTCACTCACTCAATTTTATAGCTACCCATCTCAGTCAGTGACTCTGGGCTGCTTGCAATTCAAAAAATATATTACAATTGAAACAATAAAAACATTTTAAACAGTACAAAACATTCAAAATAAATATACAGGTAGTCCTCAATTTACGACCACAATTGAGACCAAAATTTATGTTGCTAAGTAAAATTTTGTTAAATGAGTTTTGCCCCATTTTACAGTACAACTTTTCTTGCCACATCTGTTAAGTGAATCACTGCAGTTGTTAAATTAATAACACGGTTGTTAAGTGAACCTGGTTCTCCCATTGACTTTGCTTGTTAGAAGGTCACAAAAGGGCATTACATGACTCCTGGACACTGCAACCATCATAAATGTGAGTCAGTTGACAACCATCTGAATGTAAATCACGTGACAATGGGGATGCTGCAATGGTCATAAGTCAGTTTTTCAATGCCACTGTAACTTCAAACGGTCACTAAATGAGCTGTTGTAAGTTGAGGACTACTTGCCAGTTAGCAATAAACACAGGAAATGGGGCACTTAATACATTCAGCACCTGAGATTGGAAACACAGCCAGGTTTTTAGAGCCATACAAAAGGCTAACAGGATTGGGGTCATTCTAATCTCTGATGGGAGGATATTCTATGTAAGGATGATGTAATTTCCATGAGTACATTTAAAGATGATAGCATGGCTATGCTAAAGCTGTAAAACAGTGCCACCTTCACATTACAGATTTGGAGTAGGGTAGTAAAAGTATGTACAAGAGGAACTAATAAAAACTATTTTCCTGAAGTGGTGATCAGCAAATAAAAACTCACATATTTTGGGCATGTAGTATGAGCTGATGATGAGCTAGAAAATATTTTACATTGACAAACTTAAAAGAAATATTAAAGGACATTAGATAAATTGCCTAGACAGAAAGATAGAGATTACTGAAATTTTACTGTAGATAAGTAATGTAAACATTTGTACACAGGATGGGATTTGGTCCTGACTCCAGAGCACCTAAATTAACTTTGTAAAGAGCAAGAAAGCACTTAATCATATGCTGAAGTAAGAAAAGAACATGAGCAATATGAGAAGAGAAGTCTCAAAAAATTGTTCATTTAAGCAGATTAAGAGCCAAATGAAAATGCAAATAGAAGCGCAATTGATAAAATATATTCTGTACTATCCAAATGTTCGTAAAAATGACTTTCACAAATGATGGGAGAGCAGGAGTAAAATGTTTTCTTTGCTATAGTTTACTATACATATTTTTTCTCATATTCTGAATGGTCTGCTTCAGGCATCTTCATAACAATAGAATCAACTTCTTGGGAAAGAAATGCTTCGATGGCCTCCATAACCTAGAGACTTTGTGAGTTGAGCTTTTATATGCTTTTTCCATATTTCCATTGATATTCTGCAAATCATTTTTTAAAAATGTCTAAATGCAGATTTAAAGAAGTTATTGATATTGACTTTATTGTTAAATTCTTAAGGATGTAATCCAATCCACACTTAAATGGAAGCCAGTTTGCCTTATTTTATTTTCCTTTAATATATAGGATTGCAGTGCTATGTATTAACTTTTTTATTTTGTAGACAATGGGAATTTGAAAAGGCTAATGAATATATGAGAATATAATATAAGAGAATAATTGATATCTCACTGTGACTAATTAAATTCTTGATCAATCTTTGAAAAATTGGGCCCAAATTAAACTATAGTTTTGTTCATATTTGCAAAAACAGGTTTTACTTATGTAGTTAAAATAGCAAAGACTAGCAGTGGCTACCATCATGGTGTGATCTTGTAAAAAAACGTTTTTCTTAATTTTTCCTTTAAGGTTAATTTAGTAAATGACATGCAATGGAGTATTTTTTTTTTGTTCAGGGTGAGGTAGAGGATATTGGTAAGGATTTTGAGGCAATGGAGTACTTTTGTGCAGTGGAGTACTTTTTGTTCAGGGGCTTCAGGGGCGATTAATTAATTTAGTTTGAGGAATAAATGCACCGCGAGGAACATCTCCACTGGACTCTGGGAGGAATCAGCTCCATGATTCTTGGACTGTTTGAACTGTAAAGATGATAGAGTATAACTTAGTCCGATCAACTTAGTCAAAAATAGGGATCTAAAATTAAGGAGGACAAATTATTCAAGCAGAATATAACAATCAATAAAATATTAAGTAAATGCAAATATCTATTATAAAAAATCATTAATGGGCATGGATCCAGTTTACTTGAGGAACCATCTCACCCTAATGGGACTGGTCCATCCCACCCACAATGGCAGAGGGGGCATACTATTAATCCTGTCAGCCAAGGAATTTCGGCTGGTGGATTCAAAGAGAAGAATCTTCTCTGCCGTGGCTCCTGCCCTCTGGAACATCTTATCCTATGAGGTGAAACTGGTTCCACCTTCCTAACGTTTTGTAAAAGCCTTAAGACCTGACTTTGAGAGATGGCTTGGAGACCCAATAGAAAAGCTTCATACTGGAGGTGGTTGATTAATTAAAACTTCATCCCATCTCCCCCTCCCTGGGTGTCCAGCTCCCCTCTTTGCCAGCTTGTGTCCATAATTTTATCAATGTTTTTGTCTGCTTTGTTTTTATGATGTTTTTATGATATGAATGTTTTTTAATGTTTTTATGTTGTAAGCTACCCAGAGACATTGGTTACTGGATGGGTGGCAAATAAATTTTATAAATAAATAAAGTTCTATAAATGTATAAATCTAAAAGTGCAGCACAAAACAGGTAAAGTCTTTCCTTTTAAGTATGAAGATTTGTAGTGTCTAATGTGGGGTGGGTTTTTTTCCCCCCAATTCAGAGATTTAAATTACAATGATCTGAATGAATTTCCCACTTCTGTCAATGTCCTCAGAAACCTGAAAGAACTGTGAGTACAGAATTTTGGTCTTCAGCTCCTCAGCTTCCAGTGTTCATTTTGATTCATTTAAGTCCTGACATATTTATCATCCCAGTTCAAAAATTACTGCCTATTTTTCAAAATATACATTTTATTTTGTAGACATTGTTTTTTTCAACTTGGTAATTCTAGTTGTCTGAAATGAAAATGCAGGGATAAATTATAAAAAAGCAGCATGTTCTGACATGTTGCTGAGGCTGTCTGTAATAGTGGAGTATTTGCTTAATGTGCTAGTACAATTTTAGAATTGTAATGCAACATTACAAATATTAGATTATTACTAAATATTAGTCTTGAAATAAGTGCATTAAAATAATATAAGTAGATCAAACAGTAAAAACATTATTTCTAGAGAAACGTACATTATTAAGCATATTTGTTTCTCTATTACAGTTTTTAGTTTAAAAGATAAATTATATTTTGCCAACTGAATCTGTTTTCTAATATCTGAAACTGGGATGGCCAAAGTTGGTTCACTTACCTCTTCTTCCTCATATCATTATTTACAATATACACCAAAATGTTCTGCTAAATGTGGTGGGGCAATAGAGCAGGGTTCCTTTTTTCTATGGAGAGGAGGGAAAGAGTAAATATAGTATTTCCATTAGCCTAATTGTGTGTGATTGACAATGCTTACAAAGTTTCTGCTGTGCAAGGACCTGAGTTTGAGATTGTTGAAATAATACTGTCCAAGTTTTTTCATTCACACAGAATCTGTTAAGGGGAAAATAATTAAAATAGCTACAGTATACATTTCTACACACATACATACATAGAGAATGTAAGAGAGAGAAATACATGTTTGTGAGGTTAGAAAGAAAAAGCAAGAAAGATGGTAAAATTTGTCTAAGTGAAAAACAACATCTTGGGTAAAACTTGATTTTTTAAAATATTGTGTAAGTCAATAGTAAGTGAATAGGAAACTGATCATAATAGACATTTTAAAATATATATAGGTATCTGCAAATGCTGACAGCCTTCCACTCTATTTCATTGTTCATTTTCACTTTGTTTTCCTACTGATATATTGTTTCTTATGCAATCAATTTCCAGAGACAGCCATTATATAGTCACTAATAATAGCAGTCCAAACAATGAAATGAGTTTAGTGAACCATGCAATATTTTAGTTTCAACTTGAGTGACTTCATTTTTGTACTTCAGTGGAAAAACAAATATTTCCCATACAATCATTATTATTATTGTTAAAACTTTAGTGTTTTGTTCTCGCACTAGATTATTATGCAAGCAAATAATATACTTCAGTTAATTTGGAAATAATTTGCTTAGCTTTTAAATGACAATATTTACATTGTGTTTTAACAAAAAAACTCATATAGAAATGCTATGAAAAACCAGTATATACAAGATGCCTTGAGACTGTACATCTGTTATTCATATACATTAATGTTCTTAATTAAAACAAAAATACTTGGAAGTGTTATTGTTTGGTTTGATTGTGGTTTTTGGGGAAGAAGTAATAATGTCATAAGTAAATTAATTTGTACACATTATTAAAGTTATGAACGAATTGATCTAAGCATTCATTTATTGATTTTATCAGATGGCAGCCTCTGACTGGGCTGGGAAGCTAAGCAGGGTTGGGCCTGTTTAGAACTTGGTTGAAATACATCTTGGAATACCAGAGTTTCAAGTATAATATTTGCCAAAAAAAAGATGCATGGGTGTATCCATGAACTCACCAGGAACCAAATTCGATTCAAAAGAGATTTTAATTTATTCCTACAGTGTTTTGAGGAACTTATTGAGAACTAAAAATCTCCTATACTGTGATACTTTTCTATAGAATCTAATTTATGTAGAATAACTTTGTCTTTGGGTAACTCTAAATAAATTTTTGTTTCTATATATTGTGGGCATGTATTCTATTTCTGTTATTTCCTATCTAGCGGATTTCATAATAATAACATAAGGTCCATACCTGAACAGGCATTTATGGGCAACCCGTCACTTACAGCAATGTAAGTTATAAAAGTTTACTTTTTCTAGAAAAAAATTCTATTTCTTTTTCTATTGATTACTTTATTTCATGACAGATTAGTTTTTTAGTATTTTATATGATACGACAATGTTTCTCAAATATTATTAAATTCCAGCTTCTTTTATATATATACCGTGTTTCCTTGAAAACAACACCTACTCTGAAAATAAGCTGTAGGCTGATTTTTTTAAGCATGCACCTAATATAAGCCCTAGTGAAGGGGGTGGGCGTGGCCAGCACAGGAGGCAGCCCAACCATGTGTCCTCTCACAAACATGGGCAACAATCCCTGAATTGTGGCGGCTCCTTCCCTTCCCTGGTCACCTCATGGAGGTTCGGCCCCTTAATCACGATCCCACGGATCAGCTAAGCCAGCGAGGGCTGGGAGCTACCTCTTATTCTGTCTCTCCGAGCACTTGGAGGTGTTTCCAGCACATTCTCGCCAGCCCCGGTCCTGCCTTATATATAGTCATTCATGTTCTGGGCAAAAATGTTATCTGTTTCATAGACAGTTATACTTTTTGCCTCTATTTTCTAAGCAAGAGAAATCCTTAAAGGATGCCTAGCAATAGTTTGAAAAAAATAAAACTTAACCTAGATTGCAATTTTGGATCTAAAGATAAGGAGCGATGTTTGCTCAGTTTTTTTTTCCTTTAAAAATGATTTAGCATATATAATTTGGGAAGCAAATAGTTCTGGAGTTAAGCATTTAAAGATTGCAGGCAAGGTCATAAATCGTTTTATGAGAATATCAATAAATTGCATCAGAATTTGAAGATTTAAATCTTACAGTGTTGAATTCATTTTCTTCACAGCCATTTTTATGATAATCCTATCCAGACTGTGGGAAAGTCTGCTTTTCACCATTTACCTGAACTCAGAACCCTGTATGTATTTGCACCTTTAAAAGCACTTTAGCTCCAAACAAAAATTCTTTCATTCCTTAAACCACAACATTAAAACATTGTGTTTGTAATTATAGAACATTAAATGGTGCTTCAGAGATGACAGAATTTCCTGATTTGACTGGGACAACAAGCCTGGAAAGCTTGTAAGTATTGGTTCTATAGTCTGTTACTTTTAAAAACAGATGGTAACAATTATTTTAGATGTCCAGTTTCTTTAAAGGACTTGTCCTTTAATGAGTAATATATTTGTAACCCAGTGTACAAAATCATTGATCCTAAATTTGTGATGGATTTAAATTAGCTTATTGTCTGATCTATATATGCTTACTGAGCCATTAGGCTTTTTGGTTAGTTGATTGATTCACTGATTGCATAGTGGAGAACCAGGTGAAAATCCATGAGATAGGTTCCTGATACAATTTTCTTTTATCTCTCAGCCTTATCCCTGTACTTCTCTTAAATGTATGCACTTAATATTGATTATAGATAGGTTCTGATATGTTGTTCTTCAACAGAGAGAGAATTAACACTTCTTAATTCTTATGAACATGGATGTGGTGGCTCAGTGGCTAAGACCCTGACCTTGTCAATGGAAAGGTCGGCAGTTCAGCAATTCGAATCCCTAGTGCCGCGTAACGGGGTGAGCTCCCATTATTTGTCCCAGCTTCTGCCAACCTAGCAGTTCGAAAGCACGTATAAAATGCAAGTAGAAAAATAGGGACCACCTTTGGTGGGAAGGTAACAGCGTTCCATGTGCCTTTGGCATTTAGTCATGCCAGCCACATGACCACAGAGACGTCTTCGGACAATGCTGGCTCTTCGGCTTTAAAACGGAGATGAGCACCGGCCCCTAGAATCGGGAACAACTAGCACATATGTGCAAGAAGAACCTTTACCTTACCTAATTCTTATGAATTATACCAATAGCACCGAATAGTTATATCACTCAGGACTTCAGATTAATCTGCTGTGGACTAAATTCATTCCTATTGTAATTATTAACTATTTGAAATTTCTTATCTTAATAGGATCCTTACAGGAGCTCAGATCACAACTCTTCCAGAATCAATTTGTGAGCATCTCCCTAACCTCCAAGTACTGTAAGTATAGTGGAGAGACGATGTTAAATCATACCACTGATACAGAGAATATATACAGTGTTGGTTATAGGGAGGTTAACAACTGTCTAAATGATAAATCATCAATAGTATAATTACTTTTTTTAAAAGGGAAATCTGGATTGAAATTAGCCATACATTTATTATATTAATTTGGATAAAGAAACAATCCTCCCTAACTTTGTAATGTCCAGATGTGTATTGGTATTGGGAAAGATCTTGTAAAATGGGATGAAGAAATGCGGCCTAGGGAACAGTCAGCTAAGAGTTAGCATAGCCTACACCTGGAGAGTAGACAGGGCAGGAGACTCAGAAGAAACTCTCTCTAGTTTTTCAGGCTATAAAGGAGACAGCAGGAAAATTGTACTTTCCAGCTTGCAAGGTTCTGTTAATATAGAAGTAGAATTAGCTTAGCTTGTCATGTCTCGTATCTGAACTATCTGGTAAGTCTGACAAGATGTGACACACCATAACTCTTAGAAATTCCTAGGGAACGTTACCCATTTGGAGGGTGTTATTTTAAGATGCATTTTAAAAGATGCTTTAAAAAATTAAGTTAATACCGTGTTTCCCTAAACAATAAGACCGCTTATTTTTGGGGAGGTCTTCTTCCCCCCCTTCTTCTTCTTCTTCTTCTTCTTCTTCTTCTTCTTCTTCTTCTTCTTCTTCTTCTTCTTTTTGAGGTGCAGGAGGAGGCTGCGCTGATGTGACAAATCTCATGGCGATGCCACCACTCACACGCACAATGCTACAACAAGTTTTGCAGGGTCTTGGGATACACTGAAGGCTTGCAATGGAGCCTTTTTGGTGAACGGCAAGAAAATGGGGAGGGGGATTTTCCTGCCTCTTGTCCTTTTCTCAAGCTCAGCACAAACAGACATCCCTAAAAGGCTCCATCCTGAGCCTTCAGCATTGCAATCCTGGGATGTGCATCCTTTTCTCAAGCGACATTTGATCACTTGAAAGGGACAGCTACGTCCAGAGGGAAGGAATGACAGGCAGCTCTAGGCCCTTGCTGGCTCAGCTGATCCATGGCCCCAATTAAGGGGCTGAACAGACATAGGTGGCCAGGAAAGGGAATGTGCTGGCCATGCCCTTTCCCTTCACTAGGGCTTATTTTTGGAGTAGGGTATATAAGGCCCACCCCCAAAAATCAGGCTAGGGCTTATTTTCAGGGTAGGTCATATTTTCAGGGAAAACACGGTATTATAGGGAAGAAGAAAATACTAGAATTGGATACTTCTAGTAGATCAAGATAAACAAGCAATGCTGTAAAGAGTTCAGATTAGAACTAACAACCTGATTTACTTTATAAGTGTTTTTAAGGGGGAAAATTTTAAGAATATGCACAATGATGATTTTACCAATTATTTAAATTTCTTCCTATTTTTCAAATTATTTTTAAAAGTTATCAGTTTTTAGAAAGCACCCAGGATAACAGGAATATCCTATTTTCTTCACCTTGTATCAAATCCAAACTCCAAAATCTTTTTTACAGAACAGGATGCTTTACTGAAATATTTTTTTTAACATCTCAATACATGTTTACATTGAAATCAAGTACACACTCTGTTCTTGCTTAGATATGCTATTAAGCAGTCCACATTTGCAACTTCATGTTTTTAACTTTTTTCTTTCTCTCTTATATTTATTCAGTTTGAACATCGAATAGTAGCTCTGAGGGAGCTCTTATAATGATTAACCAGTATATTGCTGTAATGTTCAAGAATTCTATGGAGGTAGTTTAATCACCATCAAAAATAATCATTCTGTCTGATTCTTTGTAAATCAGCCAACTATATTTTCCATTTACCATTACATCATGATGAATGTATCTGGAACTAGTCTGCTCAGCCAACATTCTAGCTACATTAATTATAATATACACCCAAAATATGTTACAAAGCCACAATTCCGAAAAAATAAAATACTTAACTTACTGGAACTACATTACTTATTGTTAGTTAGATGTCTCTGTATTATTGAAATGCCTCTTTGTGAATATCTAATACCATTAATCTAAACCAGGGGTGGCCAAATATGGCCCCTTTATGACTTGTGGACTTCAACTCCCAGAATTCCTGAGCCAGCTTGGCTGTCTCAGGAATTCTGGGAGTTGAAGTCCACAGGTTGTAAAAGGGCCACAGTTGCTCACCCCTGATCTAAACTGATTTGATAGGTGATAGATAGATGATAGAAGATAGATAGATGATAGATAGATAGATAGATAGATAGATAGATAGATAGATAGATAGATAGGATAAATGACGATGAAAATTCTGATTATGATACTGTGTGGGGAAGATGGTACGAATGGATAAATGGTAGAATTAAGGAAGAAACAAAAGGTGCAGAAATTAATTAGAAATGTATAGTATAACTGACACCAGACACTTATTCATGTATATATGTATAAACACTGCGAATCCGATGTTAAACAGAATTGTTATTATATTTTATTTGTGTATAAAAAAAAAAATTAATAAAATTATATTATAAAAAAAAAAAAAAAAAAGATAGATAGATAGATAGAAGCCATTTGTATATGTTACACCTTTTTCTGTCTAGTGTATTGATTGGAGTTAAGCCTTCCTATTCACCTGTCCCTTAGTCAACAAGGTTAATTGATGTGGATTAGCTTTTTCTGTGAACTAAGATGCATCATCTCAGATTGGTCCAGACTCTAAACCACAACCTTCCTCAAGTCTTTCCTGCCAAGATATAGAAATCAGCAATAGGAGTTCCTTTCTTTAATGCTCTTTTCAATTTTATTGAATTGGCCATTTTTGTAACTGACCTTAGATTTCATTCTCCAAGTGTTTCTTTATGGCTTCATGCTTCTGTAATATTTACCTGTGTGAAAGTTTGTAGTTTTCTATAAGTATGGATTTTTGGTTCGGTTTTGGTTTGGTTTTTTATCCTCACTAAGTAAATCTCTTTCAATAGTCTTTTCCTGGATCTTGTTGGAAAGGAAGGGAAATGTAAAATGTTTTCACTTGTATAAAAATAACTTCTGTTTAACAACGTTTATTTAAGGAATTTGAAGCATGGACAACTATATTTATCTTTTAAAAATTAGTATAGGAATAAAATTTTACCATTTATCGCTTTATAAGGAAATAGACATATTCCTATGTCCATTCTAATTTTTTAATTTACAGAAGTCTTATTAAAGATCATAGGAGGTTACCCTGCACAAAGGAGTACAGGATACAAATCTATTTCCCCCTTTTTCTGTCTTCTTTTTACAATTTCTGAAAATTACAATGGCTTGTTTTTGATTAGTTATATTATACTATAAACGAGTCCAGATGTTTCAGTTATTCTGTAATCTGTTAGGTTTTGGCTGAAAACATTTGAAGAGTTTTTTCCCCCTTGTAATGATTGATTTTCAAAGTGACTTCTAGTTCCCAAACCACTTTTCTCAACTCAAGATATAACAGTTCTAAAGATCAGATGCAAGATTGCTTAATTTAAAGTGTAGTCTGGGAAGATTATTAAATTTTGCTTTGGTTGCTGCTAAAAATATGGAATAGTCCTAAAACAAAAGAAGTAGATTATGTAAAACAATTAAAAGAAGTATGTTTTATAAATAAACTGGATCTAGTATTCTTCTAATATCAATCTCTCTGCAAAAGAAGTTGTAAAATAAGTTTAATTTTTAGCAGAACCATATGCCATTTTGGATTTCTACTTTGTTTTTCAGAGACCTTTCATATAATCATCTGAAAGAATTGCCCTGTTTTACAGCTTGTGAAAAACTTCAGAAAATGTAAGGTTTCTAAAATGCTTTGTATCCATGCCCAGAAAGAGCAAGATTCCCTCTTTTCCAGTAAGAAAGATAAAAAGAATTTATCTATGGATGTAGTAATCTGAATCTTTGTTTGCTTATTTTCAGATTTTGATATTTAAAAAATTAGAATAGCCTACCAAACTGTCACTGCTTGGGCATGTATAGTTGAATATAAGCTCTCGGGGGGGGGGGGGGCAATGTTTTGAGCTTTGTATGTCAGAAAAGTGTTTGAGAAAGTGCCAGAATTTAATATTGGTGTTATTCTTTTTACCTTACTTGAGGCGAATTTTGAAAAACAAGATTGCAATGCTAAAATGTTTAGTAATTGTGAAAGTTACTCTTGGAATTTGGGCATCAATAGAAATTTTCCTAAAGTTTTTGTCTATAAATTCATTTTTTGCCATTTCAGTGCTTTACATCATAATGAAATATATGAAATCCATGTGGGTACATTTCAGCAGCTGGTTGCCCTCCGCTCCCTGTGAGTATCACCATGAAAACATTCTTTACAGTACTTGATATTGAGTGGCATGGAAGCTGACATTCCTTTTTCTTGCTCAATCTTACATATATTTTCCTCCTTGATTGTTCAAATTGCTGCATTTGATTTGCCAAAGGGAAACAAACATTCTGACATGGACAATTTCCAGCAATGAATTCACACAGCCATGCATCAAAGAAAAAAAAACCACCCTTGAAGTAGATTTAACTTGTAGACACCATTGAAGAATAAGCAATTTGAATGATTCATGTAAAACCTTTTATTATTACTTAAATGAATAGAAAAATAAAATGACTTTTCTTCAGACTACAAAACTGCAGAAGAATGAATAGACTTTGTATTGTAAATTTTTTATTATTATTACAGGTAGTTCTCAACCTACAGCACTTTGTTTAATGACCATTCAAAGTTACAAAGGCCCTGAAAAATGTGACTTATGACCATTTTTCACAGTTACAACCTTTGCAGCATACCCCTGATCATCTAATCAAAATTCAGATGCTTGGCAACTGGTTCATTTTTATGACTGTTGCGATGTCCCAAGGTCATATGATCACCTTTTGCAACTTTCTGACAAGCAAAATTAATGGGGAAGCCACATTCACTTAACAACCAGGTTACTAACTTTCCAACTGCAGTGATTCGCTTAACAACTGTAACAAGAAAGGTCATTAAGTGGGGCAAAACTCACTTAATAAATGTCTCACTTTAGAACAGAAATTTTGGGCTCAATTATGGTCGTAAATCAAGGACTACCTGTATTAAAGATTGAAAATATTCTGAAGTGATTTTTTTCACATTTATAACCCTGACATTTTAACAGGTGTGTGTAGACTTTTTATGACACTGAATGCCTATAATAATGTAATCTTGCCACAAATAAGCATGTGTATAATAGAGGTAGGTCCAAAAAATTGGGAAAATGTTGCAAATAGGATTAGATTGAACAAAATTGGCAGGGATAGACAGAGAAACAGATGGATCAAAATGAGAAACAGAAACAGTAGATAATATCAATGGACCTGGCTGATTGAAATATAACATGCACCTCTGCCTGTCACTGATTCCCCTGCATTGTTTACTAAAGATCTTAACTAGATAACACTAGTTGTGAACCATAATTGCAGATCATAACTTTGATTCTGACTACCAAGTCAGATAAGTAAGCGGTACTTAAAAGACATTTTCAGTTTAGAGAGAAAGGTGATTTAGTAGATGAAAAGTGTTCTATGAGCATGGATGTGTGAGAGATGAAAGGAAAGATTGGAAGGAGTGAGAACTAAAGCTTGATATTTCTTTACATGGTTTATAGGAACAGCAGCATCACATTGCAGTTAGGGCAGAGATTGCCCATCAATTCCTGATTTGGTAGGGAGGGTGTAAAATAGGAAAACAATGCATGCATTTCATTGATCACCTTAAAATTTGATTGAAAAACAAATGGGATGAAGCAAATGGGGAAACATAATTCCACAAATTTTGAAGAGCTGCAGCATTACAAGAAAACACCAACAGCTTTAATTTCAAATAAACTGCAGTGGATTTAAAAAAATATTACCTATCAGACCTAGTACAAATTATATAGAGTTACCTCAGAGAGACAGGCAGGATAGATAGATAGATAGATAGATAGATAGATAGATAGATAGATAGATAGATATGAATTTGCATGGATCCAGAGCTATTTCACTATTCTGAAATAGTGATACCTTGTAAGTCAGTGCCTTAAAAATCTATTCTCACAAGCTTTTGTAACTTTCAATCCATTTCATCATTAATTTAGGTACATTTTTCTCTGAAAGTTTAAAATCAATTATTGGAAACAATTTCTTGCTGTTAATATTTTAATAAAAATATTCAACACTATACATTACTAAGCAGATGACATTTTATTTCTTGTAGGGATTTAGCCTGGAATAAAATCTCTATTATTCATGCCAATGCATTTTCTTCTTTACTGTCCCTTATTAAAATGTAAGTATTTTTTTTATTTTAGTGTGATCCTAAATAATTGTAAAATAGAAGAACAATGTAACAAATAATCAGTACTTTCTTTATAACTGAACAATAATTTTATAGTTCTATACTGCTGTTTATTTCAGTTAGTGCTGCAGCAGAATCTTACATCAGAAAGTGTAAGCATCAGCTTGCTATTTTTGTTTAAGTTGTCTTTTTGAGATGTAATTAAATGATACCCTCCTTATGAAGACTAAATTGGAGGAATCTTAGGATACGATAGGGCAAACTGAAATGCTCCAAACTAAATGAAATCTTTCATAGCCAAACAATAGGTTGTTTCCAAAAATTCCCTTCCTTTTTGTGTTGGAATCTCCCTGCTAATGGTAAGATTATAATTGTATATCTTGTAACTGACTATTTAATAGTATAAGTGGAATAAATATATGTTTCCTTTCTACATGAGAGCTGCCACAAAACCTGTGAGTGCTCAAATGTGTACTGGTTAAAAATTGAATAAGAGCTAGGAAGAATAAATGTTTAGCTCACCCTCAGAGCCATTAAGCTCACACAGCTTTAAGAATCATCGGTCCTACATTGTTCTTGCTGTGCAAAACCCAGCCAAATTATTGCCCTGACATGGAGGTGGAGCTGTGGGCTGTAAGGCAAGCTTTGCGGTAACAGCAAAGTTAGGGAGAGGAGAGAAAAAAGAAAGGTGAAGAATCTCCAGGATAGTTTTCACCTATTTTGCAAGAATGGAGGCTTACTGGAATGGGGAAAATCTTGTTATTTTCTCTTCTATCCAGCAAATGTGGAATATTGGTAGAGAGGAATAAAACTAAGCAGCAGAGGTTACTGGTAGTTATAGCAGCTGCGTATGTATCTTTCACAGGATTGCTATTTCTTTCTGAGCCTTTAAAAACCCAAAAGGAAATTGGTTGATGGGAAGATTTTCTCAGCAAATCAGCAAGCTCTGTCAGGTTTCTTCTCCATGCAAATCAGAATTTTGCATGGGAAGTTGTATTGCATGGTGCCTGGAGGTTTTAAGGTCTAGATAAAGAAAATATTATTCAGGTTGAATACTAGCAACATGATCTCTTAATTCTAGAGATACAGTCCATCTTTAGTTCTGAATGGAGTTGTCCATAAGAGGACTTGCTCACAACTTCTGCATTCCTCTGGACCTCTGGCTCCTTCTTCAACAATAGATGTTTTTATTACTGCAACTTGTATACAGTTTCAATGTCCTCTACGTGGAAGACTATTTGGAAGTTTCAGTTGGATCAGTACTGCAGTGCCCTAAGTAATCATGAGCTATATTTGCATCAGTAACACCTTTATTAAGGAAACAATTGCTTCCACTAAGCTTCTGGATGCAGTTAAATGTGCATTTATTTATCACATTTAAAGGCTTATGGTATATACTTCAGAATCTGGATGTCTCTGAGATTGAATCTGCAGTGAGATCTGGGTCTTATTGAGGCTTAGAGCCTTTAGGAATTTAATGGCAAAGAAACTGGGGACAGAAGGAAACTATCTGTCGGATAAATTTTTCTGAAAGTGCAGTATATATTTGTTTGGAATAATATTTCTGTTGGTTTAAAAAGATAAAAAGTATTCACATGGGGGGCAGAGTCTGTTCTAGCATTTTTGTAAGCTGATTTTTGTTGTTGTTACTTTGTTATTTTGCAGGGATCTGTCATCCAACCTTTTGTCTTCTTTTCCTATAACTGGTCTACATGGTTTAACTCATTTAAAATTAACAGGAAATTATCCACTTCAAAGTTTGATATCATCTGAAAACTTTCCAGAACTCAAGTGAGTACCTCATTACAATTAATAGGGCACAGTTGTTCGCATTTGCAATGGAAGAAGTGTGACCATATAATGTGTGATACTTCTTATTCAAAGTCTTTGATACACAACAGTCAAACTGAGCTATACGTGGCAAAAATTATAGCTTTAAAATATTCTTATGTATCTTGAGAAAATGTAATTGATTTAGAATGAGCAGCATCCTAATAGCTGCTCATTCTAAAATACACCTATTTTCAGCAGTACTTCCAAATATATTTATACTTGCAAGTACTTTGTATATATTATATTGTATACTGGAATGCTTCCCTCTCCTTAAATGTTGTTTCATAAACTACAAATATTTTAAAATGGAAAAAAGGCTTATATAGTTAGTTCATTTTTCTTTATTTTCTTCCTATCATTTTCCTGAAAGTGCAGGGTCCACTTTTTCAGAACAACATAGTGTTGTTCCATTGGTTGTGACAGAAATTGGCCCATCAGTTTGTCACCAGAGCCTGACATCATGGCTAAAGGAGAGTGACTGACCCAAAGTCATCCAGCATGGAGGACTAGAATTCTTAGTCTCCTAGTTTTTAGCCTGGTGCGTTAACCATTAGATCAAACTGTCTCTCTTATATAGTTGCCTCACTCTTAGAGGTAAAATACTTTGTCATATTCACTTAATAAAAAAGAAATCTGTTATAACTAAATCAAACGTGACAGAGATTGTTCATGCCCTATTCTTTTGGGCAGACTGCTGGTATCTAAGAATATATAACATATTTTATATTTTATATAACATAACTATATTTTAGAACTGTTGATAAAGACACAGGATCACAATGCATAACAGTGCACCTATATCCAGAACCAATGAGGGATATTTAGCTAGCATGGAAAGTGCTTTGTACATCTGCCATAACATAAATTATCATCAAAGAAAATGTGTTCATAAATATTGGGAAATGAATGCCAAACATCATAATCTTGTGTGACCATCGGAAAATTAGCTGTCAGTCAGCAAATGATAATGCAGTACAGTTATTTCTCTTTTGACCAATCGCCCACTTTACTTTTTTCTTTTAAACAATCTCTGTATAGCATTAAACCTTGTGATTCTCTCAAGCCTGGAATAGCTTCATTCTGTGTGAAAGAGGTAAAAGAACACTCACAACAGTAGCAGCAAGAATGAAAAGAATAATGACAACATACATGCAATGTTCTGAAGCATAGAATTTGGAAGAATGGCTTAACTTAACTTAATATATCTGTCAAAAATTCTGAGTTTATATTGATTCAGTGTAATATTAAATACCAGTTTAATACAAATTATTAGTATATATTTAGATATGCAAACAGTTTGGTCTACATCAAAATAATAAAAGGAATGTGTGTAACCAAATATGTCTGTTATTCTTTAGGGTGATAGAAATGCCTTATACTTATCAATGCTGTGCCTTTAGAGCCCATGACAACTACTATAAAATCCAAAATCAATTGAACAAAGCTGAGAATGGCAGTGCTGATGAATTTCAAAGGAAATTTAGTAGCAGTTTCCATACAAATGGTAAGCACTGTAAACATGCATTAAAACATATTTTAAAAAAAGGATTTGCTTAGAATTAGGCTATCATAACTGATGATCAAATTTTCTAATTTTACTATTTTAATTCCTGAATATCAATACAAGATGTCATTAATTCCTATAAATCTATATTTTAAATTTTTATTCTAATCAAGTAGAATTGATTAGGGGTGAAATCCAGCAGGTTCTGACAGGTTCTGGAGAACCAGTAGCGGAAATTTTGAGCGGAGGACCGGCAAATACCACCTCTGGGTGGCACCAGAGTGGGGTGGGAATGGACTTTTTGCACTATTCTTCCCATGCACTGGGGTGGGAATGGAGATTTTGCAGTATCCTTCCCCTGCCACGCCCACCAAGCCACACTACACCCACCAAGCCACGCCCACAGAACTGGTAGTAAAAAAAATTGGATTTCACCACTGAATCAGGTTGCAAAAAAACTTGAGGTGGTAAAAGATTTACATTTCCCATAATGTATAATCTTGATAATAAAAGAGTTATCTTAAGTAACCTAAATGACCCTTGAAATTCTATAATTCTAAGTACCTGTGAAGACCTTTAATTAAGGTTTAAAAGCTCTTAATTCTTTCTATAGCTAAATATTAAATATTATTATCAATATTAGTAACTAAATAATATGACTTTCCTTCCTACAGATGAACATGCTTTTGAGGATTTTTCTCTTGACTTCAATGAAGATCTGAAAACTCATCATTCAATTCGATGTTCTCCTTCTCCAGGTAATAATAGAATTGTTTGAGCAGAATTGTGAGTATTTATGAAAAAAAAATTCCTGTGAATTTTATTATACTTTCTAAGGAAAAATTTTTTGGAAGCTATATGGAGTACTTGGGTATCCATCCATAGTAACGGACATATTTTTTATTTCTTATTCATTTATTTTTTGAAAAATTAATTAGTTCCTCAGTATTAGTTATCTATATATAAAACAAACCAAAACATAATGACATAAAGCATAAATTAAAATGAATTTAAAAGCCAAAATAAAAAAAAAAAACCCTGCACTTAAAATGCAGTATTGAAACAGAAGTTCCAGAGAATTAAATAACCGACAAAAGTAGTTTTAAAAGTCTTCATATACCATTGAAAACCTAGTCCAGTACTGCAACTTTTACTATCTGGAAATTTCACTACCAGAGAGTTTCAATCAGAAAGTCCAAGGTACAGTGTTTGATATTTCAGGACAACTGAATTCCTGGAGAAATATTACCTACCCTTTTCCTAGTATCTACTTGAAGGCAGCCTAAAGATAAGATTAGTTTTCCATTAGTACATTATAAGGAATAAAATAAAAGCATTGCCTATGCTATTCCTGTTCAAGAAACATTCTCAAAAGGAAGAAAATAGCAAATTGTCGTCAAGCTAGATGAAAAAGGGATAACACGGTCTACCTCTAAGAACATAACTTCAATTTAGATTCTCAAAAAATGAGGGGGAAAATAGATCTATTGTTATTTCTATAAACCAGCTGTGCTGGATTTAGAATATCATTAAATATCTAATGATTCTTCAGTTGGTTTATTTTACTTTTAATTGTAATTTATTCAGTGTTGTTTCATGATATATGGTTTTAATATGTATTTCAGCCAAAAAACTTATGTGCAGCATAAAAACAGTACAATTGCATAAGTAAGGCATGAAACTATTTAATGGTCACCTAGAGGTGACTCTGGAATGATTGCAACCAAGAAAAAATATTTAAAAATTAAGATAATAAATATTAACAAAATTAATATTGAAATTCGCAAAGAAAGAAGCAAGGTGCAAATGAGGTGGAGGTAGAGTCTTCTCTCAATCCATTAACCATCACCACTATGACATGCCCTCATTGGGTCACCAGGTGAATTGCAGAGCCAGATTTTAAGGCTCCTATGGAAGGCAAGAGTGTGGTATGTCACCTTGAGCTGAATGATATTCCAGAGGATAGAAAAGATTCTTCTTCCAGATCCCACCAGCCAGAATTCCTTGACTGATGAGGTCTGCAACATGTTCTTTCTGCCAGTGTGGGTGGGGCAGGCTAATCCCACTGGAGTGAGATGGTTCCTCAAGTAACCTGGACTGATGCCATAAAAGGGTTTCAAAGAAAATGACCAATACCTTGAATTTGACTCAGAAGCATATCTAAACTCCAAAGGCACACAAAACGCTGTTACCTTCCCACCAAAGGTGGTCCCTATTTTTTCTCCTTGCATTTTTTATGTGCTTTCGAACTGCTAGGTTGGCAGAAGCTGAGACAAGTAACAGGAGCTCACCCTCTTACACGGCACTAGGGATTCGAACCGCTGAACTGCTGATCTTTCAATTGACAAGCTCAGTGTCTGAGCCACTGCATGGAAGAATAGTGACACATTATTGGGTCACCAGGGATGAAGATATAAAGTTGAGTATCATTAGCTTACTGATAGTACCTCATCCCATGGTAGCGGATGATTTCACCCAGAAGCTCCATGTAGATGTTAAAAAGGAGTGGAGAGAGTCTGAACTTTGTGTTACACCACAAAGGAGCAGCCTTGGGCTGGACCTCTCACTCCCTATCAATACCGTTTGGGACCACCCTTGGAGAAAGGAGACAAACCGGTCAAAGACTGCACTGCCCGGCCCCAGATCTCACAGCTGACCCCAAAGGATATCAGTGGTATTGAAGGCCTCTGAGAGGTCAAGGAGTGTAAAGATGGATGCACTACCCCATCCCACTCTTACGAAAGATCGACAAGTGTGAAGCTGTTTCTGTCTCTTGCTGATTACACTCACTATAGTCTATTGTCTGTGCAGTCATCACAAAAAGTAATGAAAACTGGACCTAGCTAAGCTTACCATGACTTTACTTTTTCTTTATTTTCTTGTAGGACCTTTCAAGCCCTGTGATTGCCTCTTTGGTAGTTGGCTGATCAGAGTTGGAGTTTGGACCTTAATACTTTTAGCCTTTATTTGTAATATATTGGTGATTGCAACAATCTTCCAAGTTCCACTGTTCATCTCCTCCATAAAGTTTATAATTGGACTAATAGCTATTATAAATACTCTCATGGTTGTGTCTAGCAGTGTGCTTGCTAGTGTGGATGCATTAACCTATGGAGTCTTTGCTCAATATGGAACTTGGTGGGAAGATGGAATTGTTTGTCACATCATTGGAATTCTTTCTGTCTTTGCTTCAGAAGCTTCTATTTTCTTGCTCACCTTAGCAACTGTTGAGCGTGTGTTCTCTGTGAAATATAGAACAAAATTTGAAACCAAACACACTCTAGCTAACATAAAAATAGCCATCATCTTTTGTTTTGTACTGGCTTTAATAATTGCTGTGATTCCAGTGCTCAGTGACAGCGAATATGGAGATTCTCCCTTATGCATACCACTACCTTTTGGAAGACCATCAAGTGTGGGTTATACAGTAGCAATGGTCTTAATGAACTCTTTTTGTTTTCTTGTAATGACAGTAGCATACACAAAACTCTACTGTAGTCTGGACAAGGGAGAAATGGATAGTATTTTGGATTGCTCCATGATCAAACACATAGCCTTATTACTTTTTATTAACTGCATTCTCTATTGTCCTGTGGCCATCTTATCATTTTCATCAATATTAAACCTTCATTTTATTGGCCCAGAAGTCATCAAACCAATACTTTTAGTGATTGTTCCCCTTCCTGCATGTCTAAACCCACTTCTATACATACTTTTTAATCCTCATTTCAGGAAGGACCTGAGAAGGTTTCAAAAGCTTTCATTTGGATGGAAAACATCAAAACATCCTAGTTTGGTCTCTGTCAATTCAGAGGATGCAGAGAAACAGTCGTGTAATTCAACTCAAGCTCTAGTAACCTTTGCAAGTGCCAGAATATCATACGATGTTGTTCCCGGCAATCCAGTAGTGCCATCATCCTGCGAATTCAGTGAAAGCTGTAACCTTTCATCCATCACATTTGTCCCATGCCACTAACTTCATTTCAGAGGTAGTGGTGAGCTTTACAAAAAAATTAAAAAATAGATGAATGTCCATGTATTGCTTACAAAGAGAGAAGCAACCAACTACTCTGATTTTATGGGAAAGAAATCTGAAATTGTGAAATTTCAGTACAGGTAGTCCTCGACCTACGACCACAATTGAGTCCAAAATTTATGTTGTTAAGTGAGACATTTGTTAAGTGAGTTTTGCCCCATTTTATGACCTTTCTTGCCTCAGCTGTTAAGTGAATCACTGCACTTCATAAGTTAGTAACCCGGTTGTTGAGTGAATCTGACTTCCCCATCTTGCTTATGAGAAGATTGCAAAAGGGGATCATTGACCTTGGGACAAAGCAACAGTCATAAGTATGAACCAGTTGCCAACCATCTGAAGTTTGATCACATGATCATCAGGATGCTATAAAGGTTGTAAGTGTGAAAAATGGTCATAAGTCATTTTTTGAATGGTCACTAAATGAACTGATCACCATTCACATGCTTCACAACTGGCTTCCCACAAGCAGAGTTAATGGCAGTGCAGAAGTAAAATTGCAAGTTGTATAAGTCACATAATGTCATGCTTAAGGACCAAATTGGAAATGGTGTCATAAGCCTGTCATGGTCGCATGAATTTCTGCTTACTGGCCACAGTACTTAGCAACAGAGTTGCCAATCCCAATTGTGATCAATTTAGCGAGGATTCCCTAGTGCTCTTAAAGCTTAATACAGATAGTCCTCAATTTACAACCATTCATTTAGTGACCATTCAAAGTTACAACAACCCTAAAAAAAGCTAACAACCATTGAAGCTTACCATGGTCATGTGATCAATATTCAGTTGCTTGGCAACTGGCATGAATTCCCAGAGTCAAGTGATAACCATTTGTAGCCTTTCCAGCCAGTTTCCAACAAGCAGTCACTGAGGGAAGCCAGATCGCTTAATGATCACATGATTCACTTAACTGCAGTGAATCACTCAAGATCTCTGGCAAAAGTCATAAAATGGGGCACATCTCACTTAATAATTCTTGCTTAGCAAAGGAAATGTTGGGCTCAATTGTGGTCATAAATTGAGGACTATCTATATATAGCTGAGCTGCCCTCAATATCCTTTTTGCGATATGTCTGAAAGCCAAGAATGTTACATGTATAAAGGAATCCTGAAAACAGAAAATACCAAATAGAAATGGTTTCTAATCTTTGCATAACTTGTTGGCATCTGAGATACAGTTGAATCTTAGGATATCTATTAATTTAGTGGACTTGTTCAGAAAAGTCATAAGAATGATATGAACAGAATATATGAAGTTTTGTGCTGTGTCAATTTTATCCAATTGACTTATGCGTCCAAGGAAATAACATGAAGAAATTATGCACTATATATATTTAAATGTTATATTTTGAAACAGTAAAGCCTAGAGTTGGAAGTCTGTTCTTCAAACCATTCAAATTAGAGATCATCTACCAATTCTTGAAAATGTATCTTACTACATTTATTTAATTTTTCACAGTGGTTTGGTAATATATAAATTTTTCTCTTATGACTGTATTTACATTACTATACAAATTTAGAAAGTGAAAAAAAAATCTAAGAAATTATTTTAATATTAAAATAAACAGTAGATAACATAAATCAGGATACAAAACATAATATTGTATAAGCAAGTTAAATTGCTTAAAAATTCAAGTATAATTTGGAAATATTTAAATTCATTTCAGAGAAGATTTTAAAACACAATGTGTAAATATAGAATTATTTATAGTAAAATCATACTCAAATATGAGAATAAGGCATGTAGTTTCATGTTGCTTTAATTAGTAGATTTCTATTTCCAGCTCATATCTGTTTAAATTTTTGATCTGTAAATATGTAAATTTCTACTGAATGTAAATACTGTTCCTTTTTTCTACTTATGTTTTAAACATGTAATTTGTAATAAAATTTGCAGTTACCCTTGAAGGATCACTTAGTGCTTTAAATCTCAGATGTATTTTGCAGCAATTCCAGAATATTCTCTAACATTTCTGCAATTTAATTGCAAAATAAAATTTGTGAAGTTTCTTTTTCCATCAGAAGAAATAACACACACTTTCTCTTAGTATAAACATGTGTAGATTTTCACAGCCAATATCTGCTGGGCAGTGTTGAGGTTCAGGATTTAATAACTATAAACCAGACAGATTTCCTGCTGGCAACTGTTATCTTCAAAGGAAAGGTGATCTATTGGGCAACTGAGCAAGGACTGATTTAGCTATCTTTATAAGCAGATGACCTCACTTCTGATTAGTCTTTAGCTGAGCTTGTTTCCGTTTAGTACAGGTTGTCGGTCTTCACTAATGTGCTGATCAAGTAGACACTACAACGTATCAAAAAAATCTTCCTTGAAGACACCGCCAACCTGTATCCTACACCAGTACATTGTTCACCTCTATGGAGAGAATGTTTTCTATCATCTACATGACTGGAATCTCTCAAAACCTATCTTCCTTGTTCCCTCACATTTTTACTTCCACAATACTAAACTTCCTGAAAATGAAAAGAATCTTCAAGTGTCCACAATCTCATCAGCTATATAACTGCATTGTAGCACTGCCCTGCTCAGTTGCCTGTGGTCTGCATAACAGGCCACCTTGCATCTGAAGAGGTAACGTTTTCTTGACTTAATATATTCATGGGTATATTCAGTGCATGGGGATTGACTACATGTGCATAATTGCATCTTCAAAATGCCTCAGTTTATACATTTGTGTTAGACATTATGCAAATGTGTAATTGTAATATTCACATGAGATATTATTTCTGTTCAGATGTGTATTTCTAGGCACTAGAAAAACATATGAAAATGTAAAACTTTTCCATTTGGGAAAAGCACAGATATTTATCTGAACCACAAACTCTGTAGGAGGCTACATTACAGTATACCATCTTTTAGAATGTGGGATCTAAGTGCAATCACGTTACAATTCAATGACTTTTGGTCTACAGTTTTATTCTGGCTATCTTTTGACTGCAGTCCTATATGGGGAAGAAGAGCTTTCCCTTGGGGTAAAACCAGTGATCCAACCTTGGGGCTTAGATTCTTAGTTTTCTTAATATCTGTGAAGTGAAAAGTTGCAGTCCATGTCTTTAAAATGAATGTTTTTAAAAATTAAATAACACTTGCAAGAGTATTGCTAAAATTCTTCTACTGTCTCCTGGGAAACAAAGACAGGCTCTTAAATGCCTCTTGGTCAGTTTTGTTCCGCATCAACAGGTGCAAACATGAAAGGATTTTATGATCTGAGATGACACTCCCTTCAATGGAAAAGTAAATAAATCACAGGGTCCTTGCCAACAATTGCTCAAAGATTGATTTCAGTTACAAATAATCTTGCTTTATTGTACAAGATAGGCAGGAGTTAATACATCTCCGAGTGCAATAAATTCTAAAAAAAAACAACTGCTCACCAAATCTTTCTACTTTACTTGGAACATCTTCACAACTTACCCAAATCAGAATATAGCCATTTCTTTAAGAATGTAAACCTGAATTATCTTTGGCAAATAAAATCTACTTTTGAAAACTAGCGTTTGGATTCTTTTCAACTTTTCTCTGATTCTGAGTTTTCTCCGGTGACTCAAAAATCAAACCAGAAAGGATTAAGTGATCTTGAAAATGATCTAATTTTTTGTTCGTTATTCTACTCCATTGTACAAGGGCTAAACATGATCAGTGGTGGGTTGCTCCCGATTCGGTCTGGTTCTATAGAACCGGTAGTAAAACCGGCGGGAGGCTCTGCCCACTTGCCATAACATCATCATGGGTTACTTGCGCATGCGCAGAGGCGTGCGTGCTCACGTTGCGAACCGGAAGTAAAGATAAGTGGAACCCACCCCTGAATATGATGTATGTAGCAACCCTCATTTATTTTTTGTAACAACCCTGAATGGTAATGTAGCTCCATTTCTATCTTGTCACCTTGCACAAATTTTGGTGTGGCATGTGGACCTTCTTTTACATTACCAACAATGCTGCAAACAAAGAATAGCATTGTGACAGGTCTACTGTTCTGACTCCATGTAATTTAAGTTGATAGAAAAGTGAGATCCCTTATTTGTTTATCTACTTGAATTTTCTCTTTTCATTTTTTTTCAATTTCCCCCCAAATTTTAATTAATACCCTCCCCCTATATTGTATAGGCTTAAATTTGCCAGCATGTGAAGAACTCGTCTATGTAGAGATATATGCAAAATGTCATGTTAGTTATTTTTAACCCACCTTTATCATTTTACAAATAACTCAAGGCAGCGAACATAACCAACATGAGTTATGCTGAGAGTGGCCTAAGATCACCCAGCTGGCTTTCATGGCTAAGTGGGACTTGAACTCACAGTCTCTTGCTTTCTAGCCTGGTGCCTTAACCACTAGATCAACTGGCTCTTTGTCACCATCATGTCAGACCTCATTATCATGACTAAGTCTCTGATAAAAAAATATACAGAGCCAATTTGGTCTAGTGTTAAAAGTCTGGTCTAAAAACCGAGATTGTGAATTCTAGTCCTGCCTTAGGCCTGAAACTCCATTGTTTATTTTATAATTTTAACTTTTTAAAGTGTATTTTGGCATGTTCAATATACCTTTTCCATACCTTTTCTACACTAATCATTTGAAAGAAACCAGAAATTTTAATTCTGTTAGGAATGTCAAAGGTAAAATCTAAAGGACATCAGAAAACATATCAAATTTGGGAAATATAATCAATAGAATTTTTAACCAAATTTTCTAAGACAGCTTTCAACCCAACTAATACACACATAGAACAGTTTATGGTGCTTATTTCTACTTACAGTGGGACTATATTTAATGTTATACTAGCTCCCTTGCTAATAATCATTGATATAATTACCTTTCTCTGGAATAGCTTCCCTTGAGAGAATGACTTGATGCATTATTTGGGTTTTAAACACCATTTTTTAAAGGATTTTGAATGTAAGGTGAATTGAAATTTCTCCTGTGTACAAATATACCACTGCATGAATAGATGTCTTGTAAGTAAATTACAGGAGGAGAGTGAAAGAAAGTATGGCATAGAATAGGAAGCCCCAAGTACTGTTCTCTACTGTCAACAAACTATTTAAGAATATGTTAGGAAAGGCCTACCAGTTGTGCTAAAAAAATCAATTTACATTAAAATTGATACTTATGGTATTAATAACTACAGTATATTAACAAGTTGATTGCATTTTTTTGCAGCTGTTGTTAAAAATATGAGTGGATGATTGGTTTTGATTAGTTATATTTGAGGGATCACCAGTCCCTGGTTACATCTACCATCCTAGCAGGTCTGGCAGGATTTCCTTGCTAAGACAGTGGTTCTCAACCTGTGGTCTATGGACCCCTGGGGGGGGGGTCATGATTGTCATCACAGGAGGTCTGTGAAGGTTTGAACTAATGGCATGATTTAAACCTTGAGTCTAGGTGGTCTGTGGCCATGGTCTGTGGCCCAAAAGATATTTAAAGGGGATCTGTGGTGAAGAAAAGGTTGAGAATCATTGTACTAAGTCATTCCATCGGACAGGACTCAGCAAGTGAGTTTTCTTTGCCTATGGATTATCACCCTGAGGTGAGATTGGCTCCAACTCTGATTTTCTGGAAATCCCTTAAAAAGTGTTTTTTCAGGTGTCAGCTGGCATCTTCGCTTTCTTTGAAGCTCACTAGCAACAGCCATAACCAGGGAGGAAGGGGCATTTGGGACGGGAAAAGTGTTGGAGGTATGAAAAGAATGTTATGTGAAATTGGGGAGTATGGACACTGACAGGAACCAGAAGTGCTAAACTGAGCTATCTTCCTGTCTTCAAGGACACCAGCCCTGGGAAAGGAATTTACAATGGCGCCTGAGGCACCAAGTTTACAAAACATCAGAACAAGACCTGATTGGACTATTCTACGGGGGTTTTGGGCATTGGGGATTGCTTTAAATGTGATTTTCACATGGTTTTTCTTCAGAGCTTGCCTTGCTACGCTGAACCCAGCATCTCTAGTAAAAGTACCTTTTCCCCAACACCTATGGAGTCAAGGGTTGTTCTTTCCTAGGGAACAAGCTGTGGACAGTCTGACAGTAGGCTTAAGAATATCGCGAAAGAGGGGACCCTGTGAAATGACTATAGCAGATCTTGAAGGCATTCTCCTCTGTTTTAGATAGTTATATGTTAATGGTTTGTTTTATTGTGTTGCCTAGTTTCGCATTTGTGAGATTGTCAGCTATATTAATTTTATAAATATTCAGCAACGGCTCTCAGATTTAGAATTTTTTCAATAGGATTTCACCATTAACTGCTTTTAAAATTGTTTTATATACTTCTCAGAAATTGCAAGTATGTATTGGTAGTGTTCCACTACCGTCTCTCAGGCTTGAAAAAGTATTTTCTTTTGTTCTCTCTTCCATCCAACCTATGCTTGAAGCTGATGTTTATCAACCCTCTGCCCACCCTCCTTCAATACATACCTTTTGCGGTGATGGAACTATTAAAAGTATGTGGACTCTTGATAGCTTTAGTTAAAAAACCTGCTCAAATGACACTTCACATATAATCATCAACAGCTAGGATTCATGAAGATTTTTATTCTGGAGAAGGTTTAATTAAGGGAAATGGATACTTGAAAGAGTGACACTTGGGACTTAAAATTTCCAACTATTTCCTTAAAAGAAAAATTGGATTTCAGCATTCTTCTGCAACAAATTCACTTTGGAAATATAGCCCATTTAAAATTGAGCCTACATGGGTAAAATTGGTAATCAATCAAAAGTAGTTATTTTGTGAGGAGACTATTCAGACTGGCTTCTCTAGGAAGAAACACAAATAAAATGTCAAAGGTTTTATAAGGTAGGCTGAGTTGCCTTAAAAAAAGTTACAATTCTCCATATTTATCAACACTGTTGCATTCACATTTCTGGTAAATACAATTTCATTTCTGTAC